CATTGTGGCAGACGCCTGTAGTCCCAGCTACTTGGGAGGCTGAGGCAAGAGAATTGCTTAAGCCCAAGAGTTTGAGGTTGCTGTGAGCTGTGATGCCATGACACTCTACCAAGAGCGACATAGTGAGACTCTGTCTCAAAAAAAAGGAAAGAACAGAAAAGTAGCCTACTACCCCTGCTTTCATATACACGTATCTTGAGACACTATAGTCATTAAAGAACCAGGGCAAAACCTCAGGAGAAGAACTAGGATGCAATACTTACAAATGCAGAGATCTTACCAGCTGATGGAGGACCCATCCCCAAGGATGGCCCTGATCTCCTCCCGGCATCTGTCCTGATGCTCAGGGTGCTGAGCCAGGCAGTAGAGGAGCCAGGTGAGGCTGGAAGCGGTGGTGTCGTGTCCTGCGAACATGAACGTTTTCACCTCGGATTGGACGTCAATATCTGAGAAGATCTCTCCATCTTTAGCCTAGAAAATACAGTGGAGACACATTTTTGTTAACTTTTTGTTAAGTGTCAGTTTATAGATGTTTGGAGATCGATCAAAACAACAATTTTAGGGGAAAAATTAGAGCTTCAGATAGGGGTTTCAATATTCATTCGTTTAAACAAATATATGGTATAAGCCACATTTGCCTAGAGCATAAAGTTGAACGAAGGTTAGAAAGGCAGGCACTGGCCGAGCGTGGTGGCTCACACCTGTAATCCCAGCACTCTGGGAGGCCAGGCATATGGATTGCCGGAGCTCAGGAGTTTGAGACCAGCCTGAGCAAGAGCGAGACCCTGTCTCTAAAAATAACTGGGCATTGTGGTGGGCGCCTGTAGTCCCAGCTACTTGGGAGGCTGAGGCAAGAGGATCACTTGAGCCCAAGAATTTGAAGTTGCTGTGAGCTGTGATGCACGGCACTCTACCAACAGTGGCAAAGTGAGAGTCTGTCTCAAAAAAAAGAAGAAGAAGAAAAGAAAAGAAAAAGAAAAAGAAAAGCAGGGGCTGCAAAGATGGCCCCCAATTATCAAGTAGATATTCTCTTCAAAATCAGATGTATGCAGATTTTTCAGGACGTCATCATCATCATTTCACATGCTTACCCTGTGACCATTTTCTTGTGATTCCCTCAACTCCATGTAACTATGATAATCCCCAAATCCTGCCAAATCTGTAATTTAGTCTTTACTGACTCCCTCTAGCAACTCAGTTGCAGAATTCTATCTTTACCCTAAACTACATGGAGCCAATTCACCAATTCAAAGTACTATTACGTTTACTCAATCAGGTTCGTTTTTGTCTCTCCACCTCATCTTCACTTACCCACCTACTTGCATAATTAACTGGCTAACTCAGAAGGCTTATAAATTTAGAAGATTTACCTGGGCAGAAAGGACAATATCCAGAAAATCCTGGTACTTCCTCTTCTGAATATTATCCTGATTCGTCCCAGCCCTGATGGATTTCTTTCTCTCCTGGATTATATTTTCTGGGTAGAATAACAGTTCCTTATTAACAAAGGGACAGCAATGCAAATCAAAGTCAAATAAATTATAAAGCAAGCCATAGCTCAAAAATGGCTTCAAATCTTGCTTGATTTCCAGAGGCCAAAGTGAGTCCATTATATTTAAATAGCTTTAGTTTTTACACATTGTTCATTTCCCCCATTAAATGGACAACTTTGGATGAAAGCTCCAAATATAAACACAACAGATCCATAGATTATACCAGTGGGTAGGTAAATAATTAAGACGATTTTAAATTTAGACTCAAATGACCATTCTTTTCTTCTTCAGTCTAAAATCTTATTCTCATGGAAAAGTTATCAAATAAAATGGAATTAAATGAAATGAAAGACAGGCAAAAAAAGAGAAAAAGTCAGTGTATATATAACCAAAGGAGCTAAAAGAAAAATCCCAAAATATGGAATAGAGGTAATATTTAAAATTGTAATTCAAGAATACTTTCTGGAAATAGGAGAAAATTTGTTATCTATGTATCAACAGACCCACCTTAAACCTGGAAAAATTGGAACAAAATGTCCAACTCCATTATATTTACTAGCAAAACTATTTGACATTAATGACATTAATGACTCCAGACACACAACTTTTAAGGGTAAGAAACTGGGCTGGCATTAAATTTTCCAACAATAACAAAGAACTTAAAGCAAGAGTAGATCGTTCTTAAGAAGTTTAAGTCTTCTCCTGCACAGCCTTTTGCCATGGGCCCCAAGAAGCACTTGATTTTGTATCTCTGGCCTCCAGAACTGTGACAGAATAAATTTCTGTTGTTCTAAGTCACCCAAATAAGCAAATGAAAAAATGTTCAACATTGTATGTCACCAGGGAAATGCAAATTAAAATAACAATGAGATACTGCTACAAACTTTTTAGAATGGTTAAAATTCAAAACACTGACAACACTAAATGCTGGTGAGGATGTGGAGGAAGAAGAACCCATTCCTTGCTGGTAGTAAAGTAAAATGGTACAGTCACCTTGGAATACAGTTTCATAGTTTCTTTTTTTTTTTTTTAGTTTCATAGTTTCTTACAAAACTGAACATATTCTTACCAGAAGATCCAGTGATCGCTCCCTTTGATATTTACCCAAATAAATTGAAAACGTATGTTCCTCACTCCAAACCTGGGCACGAATGTTTACAGTATCTTTATTTATAATGCCAAAGCTTGAAAGTAGCCAAAATGAAAAAACAAAAACAAACCTGTAGTCCATCCATACAGTAGAACATTATTTAGCAATAAAAAGAAATCCACAAGCCACCAAACTGTCAAGCCACAAAAATATACAGAGGAACTTTAATGCATATTATTGAGTGAAAGAAGCCAGTCTGAGAAGGCTACATATGGCGTGATTCCAACTATATGGAAAGGGCAAAACTATAGAGATAATTTTAAAAATCAATGGCTGCCAGGGGTTCCCAGGGAAGGAGGGGTAAATAGGTGGAGCACAGGGAAATTTTAAGGTAATGAAATTATTCTGTATAACACTGTAATGGTGGATCCACATCATTATACATTTGTCAAAACCCATAGAATATATAATCAAAGAGGAACCCTAAAGTAAACTATGAATTTTAGTTAATCGCAATGTACCAATATTGGTTCAATTGTAATGCATGTCCCCTGCTAACTCCAGATGTTAATAACAGAGGAGGCTGCGTGAAGGGGCAGGGTGTGAGGTATGTGGGAACTCTCTATACTTTCCTCTCTATTTTTCTGTAAACCTAAAACTTTTTAAAAAACAAAATCTGTTAATATTAAAACCTACAAAATCTCCCTAATTAAGAAAGTGTGGCTTGGCGCCTGTAACACAGTGGTTACGGTGCCAGCCACATGCACAGACGGTGGTGGGTTTAAACCTGGCCTGGGCCAGCTAAACAATTGCAACGAAAAAATAGCCAGACACTGTGGTGGGCACCTGTAGTCCCAGATACTTGGGAGGCTGAGGCAAGAGAATCTCTTGAGCCCAAGAGTTTGAGGTTGCTGTGAGCTGTGATGCCACAGCACTCTACTGAGGGCAACATAGTGAGACTCTGTCTCAAAAAAATCAAAGTGTGATTCTAGAGGATTAATAGATAGATCAATGGAATAGAAGAAAACATCCAGAAACAGATACAAGTGCATATGTCAGTTTAGAGTAGGATAAAGATGGATATCTCAAATCACTGGAAGATTTATAAAACATTAATAATGCTTCCAGGACAACTGGATAACCATTTGGAAAAGTTAGATCAATATCACCATACTAGGAAGAAACTCCAAATGGATCAGAAGACCAAATGCAAAAAAAGAAATGAAACCGTGCAAGTGCTGGAAGAAAACACATGAATTTCTCTACAACCTGAGTATAGAACAGTGGCTCTCAACTCAAGGTTATTTTGACCTCAGGGGACATTCTTCAATGTTTGGAGACATTTTTGGTTGCCACAACTGGTAGATTTCAGGGAGGCAGTGAAACATCCCATAACTCACAGGTCCTGACAACAAAGAATTATCCAATTCAAAAGGTCATTAATGCCAAGGGTTGAGAAACTTTGAACTAGAGAAAGGCTTTTAATTTTACTAAAAATCCAGATGCAACAAAAGAAAGTATTAAAATATTGAGACATTTAGCTAAGTAAAAATATATAATTTTGAAAAGCTTTTCTTTTGAAGTTTAAAAAAATTTTTTTAACATTTGATATTTTAGAAATACTCTGCATTTTGTTTTTTTATCATGACTATATAATATAAAAAAAAAGAAAAGACCTTTTCACCAAGTTCTATGTAGCTACCCTTAAACCTACTTCTGCTTATTCCCCCAATGAACAATACAAATATTAGCATTTTGTGTGTGGGCCATGATGCAAAAAAGGTTTGAGAACTACCGCTTTTTATAATGCTCACGTGTTTTTAATTATTTTTATCTTCCTTCCCTGAGTGTCCTAATCATATAATATCTATGTGTGCATGCGTGTGTGTGTGTGTGTGTGTGTGTGTGTGTGTATACATGTGTGTGAATGTGTTGGTATGGCTTGCAAATTTCCTGGGGGCGGCATTTGGCATAGTAACTCTTCTTTATATGTAATGTTTATTCAGTGCCAGACACTGTCCTAAATGCTTTATTAACATGTATATTAACATATCCATCAGCACAAAAGAAAAACCCACTGTGAGATAGGTCCTTTTTAATTTCCATTTTACCGATAACACTGAGATGAAGTAGTAACTTTCCCCAAATCACACTGCTAGTAAGTAGTGGAGCTGATAAAGGGGTAATTAATTGCTTGGTAAGTATCCTGTGCTGTGGTGTTCACGAATGGTAATGTTGAATTGCTTTAAAAGCTTAATCGATTTCAGTTTTGTGTTTACTTTTTGCAAAAACTATCAAATGCTCGGCCGTGTTTCCTGTTTCCCTATGCACCCCTGTGTTGCAGGGATGTTTTTACTGCAGTCACCATACAAAAAACTGTGTTCCATAGGTATGGTGAAATTTTAAATGCTCACCTGCTATATTTGTATTAATAAAAATTGTATAATATATAGGAAAGTTCTGATAAGACGACTACCATGAATGTAGCAAAGTCATCTAAAGGACTCAAGTTGTATTTCATTGGGGCAGTGTCCTCATAAACGCTCCAATAAAAACAAATATTCTTGCTCTTTTCACAGAGAAGCTCTCCCTCTAGATAGGAACAATACAATTATGACATTGCATGGATGTGGGCCACCCCAATTCAACCAATACCTGTGTAGCGACGGGTCACTTGGTTTAACTTCTCAAAGCGGCGGCTGAGAGGGCTGAGTTTGAAAATCATGTCGTGGTGATACAAGAAATTATATACGCGCTGATATATAATTCTGCTGAGTTCAAACGTGGCTTTTACATAAACATCATGGGTGCTAGAACAGAAAGTGGGGACAATGTGTTAATGAATGATTTAGATAATGGTGGTGATCAAATATCTTTTTTGCTTTCCCATCAATGACCTGTTTATCTGGCAGTTGGTCTCCTGGCTGAAAGCGCATTTCATGATTATGTCCAGGGCCATCAAGTTGATGTGGTCAGCAACCTCGATAGATGTGTCCTGAGTGCTACAAAGCTTTTCCCATTTATCCTGGAATAGAAGGGCAAGATCAACATCCTCATGGTCATCAAATCATCAAACTGCCTTTGTCTGAAGGCTCCTCCCTGACTCTGCCCTTAGGATCTAAGGGAAACAGCCTTGACCCAGTAGGAACCAAAACAAAGGTCACATAAGGAAATAAGCCACGTGCTCACAATGGGTGCAAGGAAGGGAAATAGGTACCCCGCTGAGTAACAAAGCACGTGGACCAAACTGCACGTCTGGTACATGGCTGAGGCTAGGATCTGCAGCTTTTCAATTATTATCGTAACTCTGCTTTCAAACAGACCAGAATTCCACTGTTTACACAGTCACTGATAAAAGACCCATAATTACAAGGGGTTTCCCCAGGGCTTCATACATCTTCAGTTCCCAACTTGCTAGATACCACTGCACTGCTCTCAACCACCATAACCACACTTAAACTTGGAACCGTCTCAAAAATATTTTAGATCCAGAAGTGGGGGACATAGAGATGGTGTGGAGAGGAGCTGCTGCCAGGAGCCGACCCCTCGCCAAGCATGGCCTGTGCCCACCTGGCATCCCCACTAAAAGAGACCCACCCACACTGCCCTGAAACACTTTGCTTGACTTTTTAGAACTGCCACAATGTCCCCAGTTGAAAATGTATTTGTCACAAAAAGCATTCTTTGTGTAAAAATACAAATAAATTGAAAGGCTTAAGTTGGGTCAGATTCCATTTGCGTATCTGTGGGTGCTAACCTGGGTACTAAGGACTTGGAAGCCAGAAATAAAAGGCAAAGAGATTTTTAAAAACTTTTACCTATGTGTCAATTGTTTAGTTTAATAGCTTTCATCAGAACTATGTAAGTTTTTCTGAGTATAAAATGCGAGTCTAGAAGAAATGAATGCAAAGAAAGACAGGCTTTTTACACTGGAGGAACTCTGAGTCTGGAACAATTCAGCAGAGGGAGGAAGTGTGAGAGGAATCCCAGAGAAATGTGAGGCTGAGAAATGAGGAGGGCAGAAATAGCTCCTAAAAGTGGAGAGAAAACTCAACTACAATCACCGGTGGATCGAACTTGTGCTGAAGTTGGACAATCATCAGAATTGGAAAGGGGAGGCTTTCCTCCCTCCTGGTCTCCAGGCCTGGAGAACTCGCACCAGCGTTTTTACCACTGTCTCAGCAGACCTCACTTCAATTTGCTTCTGTGAGCTTGGCTGAGAACCCAACCATTGAGCTGGTAACAGTGGTTCCTCTGAGGTCAGGGCTGAGTTTACAGCTGATGAGGGAAACTTTGGCTTTGGTGTTGTCATTCAAAGCATTTATGGTGGTGAGCTGTATTAATGAATTACGTGTCTGATCTCAAAATAAATGTGATTTAAAAATTAACTGTGCAAGTAGAGTGTTGGAAAAGAACTCATTTATAAGTCAGACATTGCCCACAGTAAGGTTTCTCTACAACATCCTTCTGCTCCTTTGGAAGGCACAGGTTAGCACCCAATGACCCTCTGCCACCTACAAGGCAAAACTCACACCTGCAATTTTCTTTCTTTTTTTTTTTTTTGAGACGGAGCCTCAAGCTGTCCCCCTGGGTAGAGTGCCATGGCATCACGCTCACAGCAACCTCCAACTCCTGGGCTCAAGCGAGTCTCCTGCCTCAGCCTCCCAAGTAGCTGGGACCACAGGCGCCTGCCACAACGCCTGGCCATTTTTTGGTTGCAGCCATCATTGTTGTTTGGCGTGTCCGGGCTGGGGATTTGAACCCGCCACCTTAGGTGTATGTGGCTGGCGCCTTAGCTGCTTGAGCCACAGGCGCCGAGCCACACCTGCAATTTTAATACAGACATTGTTCTTAGTTCCATCCTTTATGGCCATTGGCAAGTCCATGTCAACTGCCCAACCTTTGTTCAAGCTGACTCATTCTGCTTTGAATTATCTCATCCCTGTTATCTATATATTGAAGTCCAGCTTGTATTTCATGGCAAATTTGAGTTTCCTCTAATCTGAAGCTGTAAGAGCTGTCCCTGCCTTTCTTTACCTGTCATCTACAGCACGTACTGCCTGAATCTCCCCAACTGGTACTTGTTTTATCATCATAATAGGATCTCCAAATATATCAAAGACAGAGGACCAGATCTTCTTTTTTCTTTTTATCACTTATAGGACATAACAAAGGCTTACAGACACCTATTGCTCAATGGGTATTGAATAATGGTTAATTTCCAGAAATTGTTGACTTTTGATTCTCAACACCTGCTGCCATATGCCAATATGTCCCCAGTGGAAGCATTTTGCAGTGTACCAGAGCACATTCCCCTCTCACTTACCAGCATTATGTTCACAGAACAGATCATGATGTCAACATACGTTTTCAGGACGTTAAAATGGAATCCAGGAGTTAGGAGGCGACGGTGCTGGAACCACTTGGGCCCTTCTAGATTTATCAGTCCTTTCCCTTGAGGAATGAAAGGCACATGCCATTTTATTAGATGAGATGAAGAAAGAGATGAAGAACATAGACAGCATGGAATGACCACGACCACAAGTCGCGAAACAGTGGAATATCAAAGCACCGTTCATATATTGAGATGGAGCTGTGCACTGATGCTTACATGTACGCTGGCTGCATCTAACATGGTGAGAGTTTCAAAGTCTGATAAGTTCCGAAGCCTGGGAAGATGAAATGCTAATCCTGAAGTCACCAATCCCTACCTATGTAGCAACTGAGTAAGTAACTTAACCTTCCTTGGTTTTCTCAACAATGAAGTATGATAATAAGTACCCACTTCACTGTGTCCATACGAAATGAAGCTGCAACCTACTTCCTAGCTCACACTAGAAACACAACAAATGGATTCATTTATCCTACACTCCAAACCAATTCATAAATATACTTTGAACACGAATTTACAAGGAACTAGGCCAGACTGTCCGCTCTGTCCCCTGATGTTCCCTCCTTGAGTCTTGGTCTGTGAATTATACAAAGTGGAAACACTTATTGAGGCCAACACTTCACAATCTTCTATTGCCAGAGTAGCCATTAAGGATATGGCTTTAAAAGGACTTTAAAGTTTATTAATACATAACCGATACCATTCATCGAGTGCTTACAATACACTGGGCTTGTGATGCATGCATGATGTGGTGTTGGTACAATGCCAGCCATTACATTAAGTGGTGAAAATACGTGTTTCTTTTAATCCTCATACAGCCCAGGGATATGACTCTCATCCTCATTTTCAAAGATCAGAAAACTGATGGGTAGAGAGATGAACCGACTTCGCCAAGATCACATTGAACTAGTCAATGTGGGAGGAGACAGGATTTTGAATTCAAGCCTATAGTTTCTGATTTAATTCTTTCCTTATCTAACACAAATACTCATTATAGATTAAAGAGCTTGATTCATCTGTTCACAGAATATTGCCAAACTATATGTAAGAGCAAAATTTTACTGATTTGCATATGTAAATAAAAGAACTCTAAAAGAAAAGATTCAGGAAAACAAAACAGAAAAAAGGATAAAAAAAGAAAATAGGGATGGTGAGATTGAAGTTTTATTGATTTATTTTTATTTATTTATTTTTTTGAAACAGTCTCACTTTGTCCCCCTGGGTAGAGTACTGTGACGTCACAGCTCACAGCAACCTCTAGCTCCTGGGCTTAAGCAATTCTTTTGGCTCAGCCTCCCGAGCCACCCTCCTGAGAAAACAGGTACCTACCACAATGCCTGGCTATTTTTGTTGCAGTTGTCACTGCTGTTTTAGCTGGCTGGGGCCTGGTTTGAACCCACCACCCTCAGTGTATGGGGCCAGCATCCTACCCACTGAGCAACAGGCAGTCGCCTGAGACTGCAGTTTTAAAGAGAGAGAGAGATGAGGGACAGATTCCCACATCTGCTGTCCTGAGAATGGGACTTGGGAGAGAAAAATGGACAGACTTTCTAGGAAGTGGTAGTGTGCTGACTTTACAGCTCTCTTTTGACTATTCCCTTAGCTAACTTTCATGTAATAATTCTCACTCTTTAACACATTTGAATTCAGAGTTGAGTTTCTTTGGGATGCTTTACCATGGAAAGGAGACTTTAAATGATTTAAACGAGAGTAGGTTACATTGCTCCTGCGCACATACGTACCAAGGGTCGGAATTATGAACTTGTACAAATACTGAGACTTGGGATCTGTAGAATCAAGCAGAGGAAACAAAAGACAGCATTAGAGGGAACATTTGTTACCAATTAAAGTTGGTGACGTTTTCTCATTTGCCTACATTAACCACAAACAGGGAGAGAAAGGAAGCCCAGAGCTCACACCCTGGGGCCCTTGGTAGCCTGGGGGAAACCCTACCTCTCGGTTCCCTGTAAGAGAACAGCAAGACCCTAGAGGCAGACAGGTTATGCAAGCCCAGATTCTCCCTTTGTTTACATTTCCTTCAACAAAAGCAGAGATTGCCTGGAGGTTGAAAAGCTTCCAGTATAGGAGTTGAGACATCACATATCCTGTATGGTGGGCAAATTAACTATTACAGTGGGGTAATGAGATACCAAGGCCCCTGTGTTTTCTTGTGAACCCTAGGGTGGAGGTTGTTTTATAGGTCTTGTGTTTAAGAGACAACATAGAACAATTCAGAGCAGGGGGACTGGGAACACAGAGATAGTCAGAAAAAGTTTGTTTTTAAAAAATGAAGTTGCAGTAAGGGTGATGGGTACAATGGCCCAGGAAAGAAGATTAGAATATGAGACCTTGGTTTTCCAAAGTCAACAGAGCAAAAACGGATGTTTTAGTGTTGTACTAGGAAAAAATCCACCATGGAAGCCTTGAAAAAGGTTGGGGGAGGGGGGTAAGGTAGATGACTCATGCCAAGGGGAACACGGTTGAGAAACGTGCAGAGAGAGAAACCAACATTTCTACAGATGCACATCTGTAGATTAATGATCTAGCATTCAGGTTCGGGTACTGAAGCAGCAGAGACAGCGTTACTTCCGATTTCCCTGAAGGCTTATGCTCAATCCAGTGTCTTCTAAAGCCTGATGCTACTCTTTGCTTCAGAATCCTCCCTGTGTGTTCTGTGCATTTTACTCATAGGGGGATTAGGTCCCGGAGATTTGCCCCTTTTCTTACCTGTTCTGCTCAGAAATGTCTTGGCGTAGTCCGGGTCATAGATAAAGAAGAAGGCTTGGAAGCGCCCAATCCAGCAAGGGAAGGCACGAGGGTATTTCTCAATAATTTCCCCAATCTTATCAAAATTATCATTGTGAAAAACCTGCAGTGAAAAAAGGAAAGGAAAATAGAGAACCAGGCAGGCTGGACTTGTCCCCTCTTACAGACACAAGCTAAGTTTAGGGCCTGAATGAGAGGCCCTAAACTCTGTATCTCATTCACAGAGGCAGACGAGCCTGATCCCTTCTCTGGAAGTGAGTGCACATGCTCTCTTTGGGATCTAAGCTTGAGGGATAGTTTCTTAAATAAGGTTAGTGTTATTTATCCTCTTGATATAAATACATGCTGTATCCCCACACCAAGTCACTGTCAAATAACATAAACTATGAGCTGTTTTCCCAACAGAGGGAGAAGTGAGCTGAGTCACACTCTGCTTTACCTGTGAACATCCTGTGCAGATTAGGAATGGAGTCTGGAGGTTAAAAAAGATTTCTTTCCTATAATGGGAAGCTGTTAGTAATTGAACATGACCCACCATTTAGCTCACCAGTCCTTCTCCCTGTTCCACATAGTGATTCTTTCTCATGACTTAATCATAAATGCTTCTCTCTAAAAACTAGCCAACTCCACCTACAAAGAAAATCCAACTTCCCACAACACTATAAGGCGCATTTACCCAGATGTGTGAAGCTTGAAGCCAACTCAAATACAAAACTCTCAAATTGCAACATTTATGAATGAGAGTGCAAATACTACCCTACGAGAAGGACTTTTAACTTTTATAATCAAATTATTAATGGCTAACTTAAATGGTGTCTCTAAACCACTGACAAGAAGATTATTTACATTTGCTTCTTGTGTAAAGTACCAGGCACTCATATGTGTGTCTCAGTGTCCCCATCTATACCCTTGAGCAAGATGGTGCGGGTCCCCACCTGCAAAGCAATCTTCAGGTTGGCAAATTCTTTCTTGTGTTCTTATTCTCAGAAGAAGTGGAAAACCCTGGCTTCTGCTTTGCTTCTGTTATCACTTAGCAATTTTTACCCATTAAGTGTTCTTTGGATGGTAAGGCCACTGACAGGTCGAGACTCTTGAAATCTAGTTTCTGAAATGTCACAGGCTCTTTTCAGCTAATGCTGTCATAACCAAGCCAGTGACAAGGGCCCACGAACTACCCAGAGTGGTGGTTTCCAACCGTGTGGATATCTTTCCACGTATTCACTCATAAACAATAAACAAATAAGTCTCACTGAGTACCTATTACATGTATCAGGTGATAAAGATACACTGAAATATAAAAAGGCAAGATCTTTCCTCATGGAAATTCTAACCTCATATGAGGATTATTTGTTTTGGCAAAAATTTTTCATGGACACCTCCAGCTACATGAAAGTATTTGGTTACATTTTTTTTTCTTTTCTTTTTTTTTGTTTTTGAGACAGAGTCTCACTGTGTCACCCTCAGTAGAGTGCTGTGGTATCACAGCTCACAGTAACCTCAAACTCTTGGACTTAAGCAATTATCTTGCCTAAGCCTCCCAATTAGCTGGGACTATAGGTGCCTAACACAATGCCTGACTATTTTTTTTTTTTTTGTAGTTGTTGTTGTCGTAGTCATTGTTGTTTAGCAGGCCTGGGTTGGGTTTGAACCTACCAGCCCCAGAGTATGTGGATGGTGCTGTAACCACTGAGCTACGGGCGCAGAGCCTGGTTACAATTTTCACAACTGCTGACTGCATAGAAAAGACAGAGAGCTATTAAATCCTGTAATATATTTAAGTTCTATTTCTTCATCCCCACGGCAATGTCTAAATATATTTGAAAATGGGTATTAGACATATTTGATCATTACACATTAAAAACATGTATCAAAATACCATATGTACTCCCATAAATATGTACAATTATGCATCATTCAAAATGGTACTGTCTCTATAAAATAGTTCCATCCTTTCCTTGTGACTTCCTGAGAGGTGAACTACTGAAAGGAACCTGATCTGGGTAAATGGGATAGTCATATTAAACAGTTTGATATGTCAGCCATCTCTAATCTGCAAAATTCAGATAGAAATCTCTCTAAAACACCCACTCAAAAATAACTTAGTGACAGTCAAGCTTTACATACTTAAAACTCTATGAATGCAATAAATAATCTGAAATGAAATGAAGACACGATAGTATCAAAAAGGTTAAGACACTCAGAAATACATTTAACAAAAGAAACATAAAACTCATGCACTGAAAACTACACAATAGTGTTTAAAAAGGTTAAAAAGACCTAAAATAGATGGAAAGGCATCCCATATGAATAAAAAACTTAATACTGTTAAGATGGTAATACTCCCCAAATTGATCCATAGATTTATTTATTTGAGATAGAGTGTCACTTTGTCACCCTCAGTAGAGTGCCGTGGCATAATAATAGCTCACAGCAAACTCAAACTCCTAGGCTCAAGTGATTCTCTTGCCTCAGCCTCCCAAGCAGCTGGGACTACAGGTGACCACCACAACGCCTGGCTATGTTTAGAGATGGAGTGTCGGTCTGGCTCAGGCTGGTCTCAAATCTGTGAGCTCAGGCAACCCACCTGCCTTCACCTTCCAGAGTGCTAGGATTACAGACGTGAGCCCAATCTACAGATTTAATACAATCTCTATCAGAATCCCAGCTGGTTTCTTTGTAGAAATTGACAGGCTGGTCCCAAAATTCATTTAGAAATTCAAGGATCCAGAATAGCCGAAATGATCTTGAAAAAGAACAAAGTGAGCTGATTGATACTTCCTAATTTTAAAGCTTACTACAAAGCAACAGCAAGTAAGGCATTGTGGTGCTGGCACAAGGACAGTCATAAATCAATGGATAGAATTAAAAATCCAGAAACAGACCTTGACGTTTATGTTCAATTGATTTTTTTTTTTTACACTTCAAGCTCATTGAGTATATAGTCAATAGATTTTTGACAAGGATGCCAAACCAATTTAATGGAAACAAAAGAAGACATAGTATCCAGGAAACACACACACACCCCCATATAGAAAACACAGGACAGCATCAATGGCAAGGCTTGGACAATGTCTGTACCAGGCCTAAAGAACC